CTGCGGGACTGGCCCGAGGGCGGAGCGAGGGCTGCACCCCGCGTCCGCTAGAGGGCGCCCTGGGGTCTCGGAGGTGGAGCGGAGTTTGGTGCTGCTCCCCCAAAGCCCTGGAATGGGAACCGCAGGGGCCGCCCGGAGGCTGGCTCAGGAGCTGGGGCGGGGGACCTCAGGCCTCCCCCACGCCCCCCAGGACAGTTCACATCACCGTCCGGTATCGGACCTGGAAATAAAAGACCGGCAGGGGAGGTGTTTCGGAAAGCAGTTTTCAGGAGTTGGGCCACTTGCAGATGGTCCAGCACAGCCTGCACGTGCCGCCCCCCTCCCCCACCTCTGAGTGGAGGCTTTGATCTCTGGGGGGGCGAGGGGGCGGGGAGACCTGGTGTGATGGAGGTGAACATGCGCTTGGTCCCACTGGCATGGGTGTGGGTGGCTTGGGCTCACCAGGCATCGCACCCGCTGTCTGAGGATGGAAGGTTGTGCAATCTGTCCCCAAGCAGACAGTGGGCGCTGCAGACACCCACCCGAGAACCAGCTAAGTGGAACTGACAGCACCCCCCCCCCACCCGCGCCCCCCCGTCTGACAGCACCAGGGCAGCCTGGGAGTCTAGAACCGGGGACCTGGCCCTTTTGCTTCTGGGGAAGCCAGTAGGACCTCACAGCCTTTGCCACTGTGCCATCACCTCTGGCCCCCACAGAAGTTGGGGGACTGACTGTGAGATATGGGCAGGACAACACGCACGGAGACCCTCTGGGACTCTGTTTTCCTCTCTGCAAAATAGGAATAGTGACCCTTTTCCCATCAGACATCTGAGATGAAAAAACCCCCACAAGGTCAGAATGTGCTGGACATGGTAACGATTCCGTCCACCTCGCCCTCCGGTCTTAGCGGAGCTCAGCAGCAGCAAGGCGTCCTCTTGTTCCTTCTGTAGGGGGGAACCGATGGAATCAACACGTTTCACAAAAAGGGGGTTCGGTGTAGCAGGCGTTGTGCTGGGCCCTGAACTGTGGAGACAGACAAGACCCCGTCTTTGCCCCTGAGATGCGGAGGACAGCAGTGTGGGCGCTGGGGTGGCCTCTCCTTCTCCCTGGAACCAGGAATCCATCCTTCTTCTCAGCCATTGATCCGCAGGAGGCTGCGCCGTGAGCGAACGCTTCTGTGCGGAGCCTCATGGGGGACGAGGAAGACTCGCAAGGAAAGGCCCTGGAGTTAATGGGTGAGCGAGTGCTTTGTAAATTATGCTGCTCTGACACAGTCAGGGTCATTCTCCCTCCCACAGCCCCGGCCGAGTGCCTGCTTCTGCCAGGCCCGGGCAGAGTGCTGGGAAGGCAGGCGGCGTGCGTGCGGGTGAATCCTGTACAGAGGCGAGGTGAGAGACATGGGATTCCCGGTCCCCTCCCGCGCCCCCCAAGGGCTGAGTGCCCCGAGGAAGGGCTGGGTGTGATTGTGATGCTGTGCGAAGGTGATAGTTCATTTGGGGAGAGGAGGGAGGAGGAGATCGAAGGGGGGAGCGATAGAAAGCAACAGCCCCGAGCTCTGGGAATCCCCGTCTAGTAGGAGCGACCTCTGGGACAGGTGGAGCCTGAGGACAGCAGTGTGGTGCCCAGGTGAGCCAGGCTCTAGGCAGGCCCAGCAGCAAGGGCTGCCTGGCTGGCGGGGAGCTCAGCGGGGGCCGGGGCCAGGGCTGATGGGAGAGCAGCGAGGAGGGCAGCAGGCACGCCAGGACCCGGACGGGGCCGTCCTGGCTGGAGGAAGTGAGGACACGCAGGGGGAGGGGGCTGGGCCCCCTGTGTGCCGACTCAGGGGACTGGGCTGCTGGCCCCGCTCTGCCACCAGTAGCTGGTGACATTGGGCAACGTACTCCCCCAGCTGTGTCTGCTCTCCGTGCTGGTAAAATGGGCTGGTAGCAGTACCCACCCCTCCCGGGAGATGTGAGGACTGAATGAACGATTGCATGCAAAATGCTTAGAAGAAAAGAAAAGAAAAGAAACGCTTAGAAGAGGGTCTTGCGCATACGAAGTGCTCGGTGCCCGGCGGCCATGCTTATTTCGAAAGCCCCGGGCGTCTGTGGAGAGAGCGGTGGGCTGCCAGGGGACGGTTGGCCGTGAGCGGCGCTCTGCGTGGGGAGCTACGCGTCTCCTGCGGGACATGCTTGCCCACCAGCTGTCCTCTTGTGTCCAGCGGCCACCGAGCGTCCCTCCGGCTGCCTCATCGCTCCAGGGTTCCCGTCGCCTTTGGGATGACCCCGGCCGCTCAGTGAGCGTGTCCACAGCTCTGTGCTCGTCTCCACCCCGTCCGCGGCCGCTGCCCCGCCGACCCCTCAGGCTGCAGCTACGGGGAGCTCCCGCTGACTCCAGAGGGTCCCCTGGACCTGGGTCTGCGTGTTTGTCTCCCTCCGGGTGAATCGAAGCCCCGCACTCGGCTGGTTTCTATGTTCCCTGTAACACTTGGGACCGGAGACCCTAACCGTCCAGGGGCCTCTTTCCACTTTGACCCATGGCTCCGGGGCCGTTGTCCGGCGGGAACTCGAGTGCACAGACTGTATCTGATGTTTCCTTTGTGAGCCCAGAGCGTGGTCCCCGGAACCCAGGAGTCTCTGAGGCAGGGGTGGTGGCCTTCCCTTGTCTCCCGCCTTCGATGCCACCAGCCCTTCCTCCAGAGCCTTCTCCCTGAGGGCCGGGAGGTGGGCGAGGGTGGGCGTGGGTGTGTGGATTGGTGGGTTTAGTAGGCCCACTAATCCCAGACCAAGGCAGTGAGGCCTCCGATGTGGCCGGGAGAGTGGGGGAGGAGCCGCCTTCCAACACAGACACCTTCCCAGGGACCCACTTCCAGGCAGAGGGTGCAAGGTCACCTGGCCTCGCACCCTCCCTGCCTGTGGGGGGCTCGGCGGGAGGAGCTCGATCCAGGGCTGGGCTCGATCCAGGGCTGGCCCCTGGCCCTGCCCTGTGTTCTCCCGATGAAGGGATTTAGGAGGCCCCCCGCCTTTTCCTAATCTCTCCCTTTGCAGGATTTCTATGAAGTCAGAATCCCATTTCCAGTCAAAGGTGCTTGGTCATAAAGATAATATTCATTCTCGCTGAGGGGAAGTCCACAGCGGTTTCAGCTGCCTGTGGGGCACCACTTACTCATGGGCGTGTGACGGCCCATGCGCTGTTCCCCAAACCTCAGAGATGGGAACCCTGGGGCCGGGCTGGTCCCGGGAAGCCAGGGCACAGCCTGGCGAACTCAAGGTCCCTCTTTGCATGGACCCTCTCCCGTCCTCCAGCCAGTCCCGGGGTGCGCACCAAGGTGGCCATTGTTTGGTGGCTGCCTTTGCGGCCACGGGGGTTGGGACACTGGCCTCAGACCACAGAGTTGCTCAAGACCAAGGCCATGGCCCCAGGCGGGCTTTCTTTGGCACCAGGAGGGAGCCTGGGTCTGACACCGGTGGCCTGATGTCACAGATTTCACACTGACTGTGCCTGTTCATGGGCGATGCCTGGAGCTGCTTTCGTGTAGGGATGGTGCTTGGGGGGTGGGGGTACTGGAAGCAAGGAAGCCTCCTCCAGCCCCCCTTTCTCCAGACCCAGGAGGAGGTGATGCTGGGGGATCTCCAGGAAGCCCTGCCCCCCGCTGCCATGGGCGGCTCCCTGGGCAGCTGGGCCCTGTGGCATCTCAGCCTCTGCTCTGCGCGCCCCCTGCCCCCCCGCCCCCTGGCGCCCCAGGGCCGGATGGTGGGGACCCCTGGTCGCAGCAGCTGGGGCAGAGGTGACCTTTGGGCTTGTGGGTAGAGGTCACATAGCAGGGCGGCCCTATTCTCTCTCTTTCCTGCTAATCGGGTGGGCGGGTGGCGGGCAAGGCCGGGACAATGGCCCCTGCGGGAAGGGAAGCGGGCGGCTTCGTTCCTGTCCGAGGGCCCCAGAGCGAATGAAAAGGTTTGTGGCTGGAAGGC